CCCCAAAACCCCAAAACCCCAAAACCCCAAAACCCCATTAGCCTATTCCTATATTTAAAATTATACTATATAATAATTAACAATGGATAAGGGAAAAGTAAGTTGAATTCCTCCACCCCATTGGTGACTCACACAGTTTAGTTTGCACCTAAATTTGTGCAGCAGCCTTTTGTTCCCCACATTCAATCCTGTTCTTTAAAGGTCTATGATAATTTTTTGTCCTTTATGAGTGGAGAAATCTGAGAGCTTTAGATACAGCCTTATGAACCCCCATTCTGTTAAGGCTGGGCTCACGAGTTGTGGATTTGGGCATAATTATTGAGAATTTGAGCGGTAAAACAACCATTTAAGACCTGTTTTTAGAAATTATAGCACTTGGTTCTAATACACTTGATTGACATAAGCTTTCTATTTGAAAAACGACACTTGGATTTCTTAATTCTTGACAAACAAGTGAGATAAGGCTTAAGAGAATTAGAACTTTAACGATAGTCCTTTCTAAATAATTGTAAGAATCGGTTTCCAAAGCATATTTCTCGTAATTTCAGCTTCCTCACTGATTTTGATAATTTTAAAAATGTTTAAGACAATTAGAGGGGACTTGTTACTTTGTAGCAATCAAAGTTGGATTATGTGCACAAAAATTTAACTTAGAATGCTAGTTTATTAACACAGAATCTTTATACCCTATACCCTGAGGTATATCAAATTTGTCACTTCGCTCTTTGATGCTAAACTTTCAAAGAACTTTCATTACTTATTCTCAATTTTGAAGACATAATAGATTTTAATATGATACTATATTTGCAATACAACTAGGCTACTTTTTATGCATGGGCTTAGTCTTCAGTGGTTTCCTTGGTCACCAGGAACGAGCAATCCCTCAGATTTATATATCCTCGAAATTTAAATTTTAAGTCCAGAATTGTCGTTTTGAATTTAAATTCAAATTATCAAGATTATGTTATAAATTTTGGCTTATTTATTGTGATTTATAAGATTAACAAGACTAGACATAAATTTTGGAATCCCTTGCTGATAGCTAACCTAAAATATAGACAAGTGTCACCTATAACGCTGAACGAGTCATTGGAAACGGATCTTTTGGAGTTGTTTATCAAGCAAGAGTCACCGAAACCGGAGAAGTAGTGGCTATTAAGAAAGTATACCAGGACAAAAGATACAAAAACAGAGAACTTCAGATTATGAAAGAGCTATTCCATCCCAATGTTATTACCATGAAGCATGCTTTCTACACTAGTGGAGATAAAACAGATGAAGTTTATTTAAATGTTGTTATGGACTACATCCCTGAAACAGTATACAGAGTTATGAGGCACTATGTCAAAATGAAACAAAGTGTCCCCGTCCTTTTGGTTAAGCTGTATGCCTACCAGATGTTTAGATCCCTTGCTTATATTCATTCTCTTGGAATTTGCCATAGAGATATTAAGCCACAAAATTTATTAGTTGATCCAACAACTCATATTTTAAAACTTTGAGATTTCGGGTCAGCAAAGAAGTTGATAAAGGGAGAACCAAATGTTTCATACATCTGTTCTAGATATTACAGAGCCCCAGAACTGATCTTTGGATGCCAGGACTACAACAGCATTATTGATGTATGGAGTGTTGGATGTGTCATTGCTGAGCTTCTTCTCGGCCAACCACTTTTCCCAGGAGAATCTGGAGTTGACCAGTTAGTAGAAATCATTAAGGTTCTCGGAACACCAACAAAGGAACAAATTATGGCAATGAATCCTAACTATACTGAATTCAAATTCCCTCAGATTAAAGCTCATCCATGGAGAAAAGTGTTTAGATCAAAGACTCCAGCTGATGCTATTGATTTCATCTCAAAAGTACTTGTATATGATCCAAATGAAAGATTACAGCCAATGGAATGCCTTTTGCACTCATTCTTCGATGAGCTTAGAGAAGAGGGAACTAAGTTGCCTAGTGGAAATCCTCTCCCAGACCTATTTAATTTCACCAAAGAGGAAAAATCTACAACTACTGCTGAAGTGATCGAACAATTGACCCCATCCTGGTACACTGGAGGGCTGGAATAAACAGTGGAAATGACAGAGAGAGAAAGAATGTGATGTCAAGTGATAAGTATTTACATTTAATTACAGTCATCATCTTCACTACCTAAGATTTCAACGCAAGCGTTAAAATACGGGGTTTTGGGGTTTTGGGGTTTTGGGGTTTTGGGGTTTTGGGG